TCAGAACACCCAGTTCACTCATACTCGGTTTACTCATTTGGCTATATAGGGGTTCACATCTTGAGTCCATATCACTCATCGCATCCCCTCCATGGAGATAAGCATAACACAGTTTCTGCATCCAGGAGCTCACTTTCCAGTTGGGGAGGCAACCACAAGAATAGATCAATATGTGATAGGTGGTAAGAAGGACGTAGTTCAGGAGAATGTAGGAGCACAGGGAAGGACACGGGATTTACTTGGGAAAGAGGTCAGGGAAGTTTCTCTAGAGAACATGAGCATCTTTTTTGTCGTGTATTTGAGAGTTATTTGTTATCATCGTTTATTGGCTCCCCTTGGCTTTCCAGTCTCCACATTTGTCCTCCAGGTGTTCCAAATGGCACCAGTGCCTAAATCTCGGGGTGGGGGGAGTTAATCTTGGGGTGGCTAAACAAAACGATACAAGTCCTTTTTACTCTCAGTGTGGACTTCCACTGGGTGCAGACACAGTATTGTTGTTAGGATCTTCACGAAGACCCCTCAGAACCTTTTACCTCCATGAGCCAAAGATCGGATCAAGGCTAGGAAACAAAAGTCAACAGACAAACTCATTGTGTGGCTCAATGATGACTAATCACCCATTTTATCAATCATTATTCTCCTGAAACCCAGAACAGGCATTCTCCTAACCCCTCCACCCTGCTCATTCAGACAGCTGCTCTGGTGGGGACTGAGACTTAACTTGGAGCTACTCATCTACAGCTGAGAGACAGCCTTCTCCATCCTTCAGGCTTCCTGACACTTTGTTTCTTCCTCTGACATGACACTTAGCTTATTCCACCTCGTGGCATAGTTATTTCTGTCACTGTCAATGCCATCTCTAGACATGGAACTCTTCGAAGGCAGGGATGGGGCTTCGTTCAGCTCTGTCTGCCCTGAAAAACAGCAGATGGTTAGTACATTGGGTTGAATAAAAATGTCATAGATAACGAAGTCTGTGTGAATCCAGAGAACATGAGACACATTCTGCTTCTCTTAATGTAAGGTCCTTGATGCATGAAGATGAAACTGCACCAACTAGGAAAGGCCAGGAGAGGTACCAACACATATGCTACCAGGGAACACGGAACATTGCAGCTGGGGGCAAGGGTCTTGGAGACGATCAGAACATTTGAAGCAAGAGCTGTTCAAAGAAAAGGGGGAGAGAACAGAGGAGAGAAGTGCAGCTTGTGTGTGCGGGTGGGGGAGTGAGGGAGAATGCTGAGGTAGGATGACCTTGTACTTTATGTAATGACCCTGAAGTACCCCAGGATGCTGCTCCAACCTCTCCTATGGCTCCCAGAT